CTTAAGTTCATGAACCGACTCTCATTATTCGGTGTACAGGAGAACCTGTGAAATATGAGGATCTCTGTGAAAGGGTGATGTAACATTTAACAAAGCAGTTAGAAGAGGTCATACTGCCCCAAATAAAAGCAGGAAGAGAAGGGAACCTGAAGAACATAACTCTCCCCGGATCCGTTTACAAGACTGCCACCACCTTATAAACTTTAGCAGCAAATTTGACATCATCTGGACAGGGAGATTTACTGTAAAATGCCAGAGAGTTTGTAATAGTTGGTGGAGAACAGAGTTTGTTTTAATTTGAGGACTATTCTTGGAACTGGATGTTAGATTGATTCCCATATTGTGTTTTTAGCCACGCTAGCACCGGGAGATGGCGATGTCAGTCCATTGCTTTTTGTCCAGACTAAAATAATTCAACAACTATCGCGTGGATTGCAATGAAATATTCAAATATTAAATAAAGATATTCATGGCTCCCTAAAGGATGGTTCTTAATAATTTTGTTTATCCCTTGACCCCATTAACAGCTCGACATTTTAACTTCATCCCGTGTAATATCTAAACTTTTTCTGGATGGATTGGCACACAGTTTTGTATAGACATTAATGGTTCCCAGGTGATGTGTCTTAAAAATGTCCCTTTTCCTTTAGTGCCACCACGAGATTGACATTTGTGTTTTTGAGTAAACTGTATCAACAAATATTGGATGGATTGCTTTGATTTGGTTGAAACATTCATGTCCCCTTCCGGATGAATTGTAAAAAACCTTGGTGATGCCCTGACTTTTCTCTAGCGCCACCATTAGATTAAATGTTTTAATAAATCCCATCAGCCTGACATGTACTGTAGCAGATGATAGGTTCCTTAAAAAGCTGAACTAACCTGGTAAACATGGTAAACATCAGCATTTTAGCATTGTCATTGTGAGCATGTTAGCATGCTGAAGTATAGCCTCAAAGAGCGGCTTGCAAGGCTGTAGATTCTAAGTCTTGTTCAAATTTGTATATTAACCAAAATCATGAGGCAATTCAGAATCTAAGGATCAAAGTATGTTTAGTTGTTCATTTTTCTCTTTGGTTCCTTGATCCATAGCTTTATAAATTGGTGTATCCTTGTTGGAGACTTGGTTAAATCGGAACATCAACCGTCTCTGTCTAATTGGAAACGCATGCGACGCAACAGCCAGCAATTACAATCACAGGCAAATACACAAACACAAAAAGCTCTCTGATGCTCATTTACGAGATTAATTAATATTCCAGAAAGGTCACACACAAATAGCTCAAACACACACACACACACACACACACACACACACACACACACACATACACAGACCCCTCCATCTACAGCTCACGCCGTTCCCAGGCCGGACTGTTTGAAATGGAACATCCTCATAAACCGAGAGCCACATCAAGGGCAATATTCCTGCCAATCGCATTAGTGGCTCTACTTGGCTACACTGTGAGTGGACTTGTGTACACTCTGTGAGGATTGTTTGCAGTTCATGACCATGGCAGAGAAAGGGGGGAATGTCAATAGACAAATACACTAGTATTATTAGAGCGGCAGTCATGTGCCACCCTCTGTGTACTAGCAGACGAGCTGTCGGAGACTTAGAGGAGGCTGGAATCCCTCCGCGTCTGTCTGGGAAATCTGGGTAAATGCTCTCTAATCCTGTTGATCCTCCGCTAAAGCCAACACTTCCTCACCTGCCTGCCTGCCATGGGAGAGTGAGTACAGACCAAAAATAGGAAGGTTATGATGAGGAGCAGCGCTGTTTGATTGTTGGACTCAGTTTATAATTTTAAACATGTTCACATTCTCATTAAAAGACAAACAGGTTCAAGTAAAATAAACATCGGAACAGCAACAGGAAAGGATTTCAACTTTTTCAGAGCAGAAATACAACAAGAATCCTTACATTTAAAACCTTTTTTTTAGTAGACATGATTATGTAGGTGTGACAACCCAACGAAGCTGTTTGATCCCATATACTCATCACAACTCACTCAGCTTTATTTTCAATGCCAACTGGAAAAAAACTAAGAAAAATTAAACTATAGGGCTGCAGCAACAATTATCTTCCTTATCAATTTAAAAAGATTCAACATGAAACGAAATACAAGATTCATAGGTTTGTTTTATTAGTATAATTCACCTGAAAACAAGAATGGTTGTGTTGAGTTCACCAGTTGGAATCACCATGTTTCTGCAGTAGTCCAGAATGGGAAAACCAAACATTGGGTCTAGATAGGGCCTTTCGCGTTTTTTGTGAGAAGTTTCAGTTGGTTGCAACCTGTAATCTCAACACTAGATGCCACTAAATCCTACAAACTGGTCCTAAAAGTGTATAGTTTGTTTTTGATTAACCATTTAAATGTTGAGTCTGCAAATTATCCAAAAATGAATGAAATGATGCCAAAGAGACAAATTAGCTTGTTTGTCTGACTAACAACTCAAAATATTAAATTCATAATTATATGTAAGTCCGAAAAAACAACAAATCCTCACATCTGAGAAACAGGAATCATGTGAATATTTGGCATTTTTACCTTTTATAAATGACTTGAACAATAATAGATTGAGATACATTTTTTTTGTCGATCAGCTAATAAAGTCAGCACTCAGTGAAACCCTTAGAAATCTTTACTTCTCATTCCACCAACAGTTTTTGATCAACTCCTTTCAACTTCTTCAATTAGAGTTGCTGGAAAATCCAGAGTGCCAGCGTGACAGCAGACTCTCAAGGCCGTTTGTGGTTTATGTCACTGTAATCTTTTCTCACTTTTTGTTCACTCTATTCTTCCTCCTTCGTTTTTTTTCACTTTCTATCTGTCGCCATAGTGGAGCAGCCAGCTCTGGCCTTATTCAGTCAGCCAGACATTTTTTTCTCTTCCTTTTTTGTGAATGGACGACAGTATGTAATTACCTGGGCTGAGCTTTCAGTGTGGCCTGCTCCGTCAGTTCCATAAGCTCCACACCCACTGAATATGCACACACAGATACAGCCTAGCCGAGATTGCTAATACACACACACACACACACAACTCAGACTCAATGCGCACACATAAATACAGGCCTCCCCAGCTGGAAGTGCACAGCTGCTGCTGTTTACCCTGTCGGGACCAGAAAAACATCCTGTACAGTTCTCCGGGTGAAAACCTCCCCTCACATAATAAACACAAGCCCTCGGCACAGTTTGAAGCTCCACTTTGGGTGGTTTCTGTGGCCATCAAGGCAAAGGTCCCCTCCAGCAGTCCTGCTTGATAGACAGTTTGGTGTGCAGGAGACTGAGTGGATATCTTTGGAGAATCATGAAATGGCAAAAATGTTCCTAAGTATTTTTGACTTTGAGGGAATATGTGGCATTATGAGGTTATCACACTCTGTCCTTCCTTTTTACGTCCCCATCTTCACTCAAATGTGAAAAACAAAGCTTACAAGCGATGGCCAACATCTGGATACCAATAGGAAAGAATGCCGAGATTCAGAATCAGTGTATATGCTGTTCTAATAGAGGTGTGACATTTGCTTTCATCAGTCCACAGACATCTCTCTGGCCCGTAGAGTTGTTTAGCTTTAAGCTTGACTTTGACAGAGGAAGTTTTGGCTGCTGTTGTGTCTGGAAGAGTGAAGAAAAGTGGGCGAGGACACTTTGGGTTTCCAAATGACTGCTGGAATGTGTTCGTGTGTGAGCGTGTGTGTTTTTGTGTGCCTGCTCTCCTCAGTGTGATGTGTGTTTATATGTGTCTGTCTGCTGCCCTGTGTTTTGCAGCTGACAGTCACTTAAGCATTTTGGCTGGCACGTAAAAGAGATTCCTGTGCAGACAGAAGTATTTGCTTTTGCCTTTGAGCTTAACGACAGTAGTATCGGGGCAGGGCCGGGTGAGAAAAGAATATACAAAGCCCGCTGTGCGTGTGCCAACCCTCATCTCTGTTTTCTGTTTACTGTCTCTTGTAGCGGTGGCATTTCACAGCCCTCCAGTCACTATCAAGAAGGAACCGCAGAGCCCGGGCTCCGACCCCAGCCAGTCCTGTAGCCACAAGCAGACCTTCAGCTACCCAAGTGGAGAGCAGTGCCTTTATGCCAGGTACCTCCAGGTTCTACTGATAGAAGTGTTAAAAACATGCTGTGTGCTAGTATGTTGTTGGTCTTTTAAAGTGCTTCACAGTTTCAAGAAGTCAGTGCACCCAAATTACAAAGCAAATAACACATTTTCTTACATACTCTATTGTACATTTTTTTTAAATCAACGTATTTCCAGAAACAGTCTCACTGTTACAATCCACAGGACGCACTGATAGAGAGACTGTTTCCTCAGTAGTAATTCACCCACTGCCCACAGCAAGGTTTCACAATGTTTTGTTTGTCGTATTGAAGTTGTGACAAAAATCTTAGAGACAGATATCTCAAAACCATCTGCATGTCCGGATAAGAGTAAAGTGAATTTAGCATTCATTTTATTGTCAACATATATATATATATATATATAATATGATTTACTTGTATGCGGAATTATACTTTGCATTATATTTTCCTTCACATAACGTTTTTAGTTTCTCATCTTTTCTCTTAGCATTGGTTTCGAGATAAGAACAAAGAGGAGGCTTCTCATTTCCTCCTCTTAATTCTTGTCTGTACCAGGCTTCCTTTAAGCTTTGTTTATCTCTTATTTGGAGCCTTTTTCAAATTTTATTAGGGCACTTATACATAAACTGATTTATTTTCTCTCTGCATATTTACTGACATCCTTTGTTACCAAGGGCAGAACAAATGAAAATACTTTATTTTACCATTCTCAGTAACAACATCCTTGTCTGATGACCCAGCACTGGTCAGCTGTCATTCATTAGTCAGCACAGCTAAAACACACTGACCACATGCTACTGACCACATGCTACTGACCACCAACGCCCCCCCCCCCACCACCATTAGGTCTGTTTGTAGTATTGACATGAAAACAAATAGTAAAACTAGCTCTCCTCCCCAGTACAACCCTGCTGTAACATGTCCTCATGAGTGTGTCCATGTTTTACAGTGCCTATGAGCAGAAAAGGGCTGCAGGAGGAGCCAAGAGCTCCTGCCCAGGGACTCCCATGTCTCCCATGCAGCAGCATTACTCCCCAAAACCTGCCACGGCCGGACGGCCTGATGCTGGCTACATGAACCCTGCTGCCACCTCTCAGCCGCTGCCCAGCAACAGTTACCCCATCAACGCCAGGTGACACACCACAGCAGTCTTGGCAGCAGCTGTGATTGACCTGTTACCACACACATGATATTTTACAGTTACTTTGAAAGAAATCATTTTACTATCCAGAGCAGTGCTCTTGGCAGATACATGGCATTTAAATTGTAGACTTGATGGTTATATGTTTATATTACATGTTAAACTATCATGAAAATGTAAACAAAAGTTCATTTTGCAACTGCATAATTCAACTCAATCTATTAATTGTACTCATTCAAGCAACAAAAGGAAACTAAAAACATATTTGCTATACACAGATAGTGGACCGATTTACTTTAATTAAAATATATGTTCATATTCTTTGATTTACAGTAAAGTCTATGAGAATTTGATAGCAACATGAGTCAAACCCATTCAGACACAAGGGTATTATTTTAGAGTTGCACATTAATTATTATATATATGAGATCCTGAAATGACCTGCTATATTTCATTCCTCAGTTCCAGGTATCAGGGCCCCTCAGGAGACCCCATGTGCCCCCAGTTCCCACCACCGGGGCAGGCCTTTCAGCGCATGCCATCTGCCCCAGCCGGACATGGCAGCAGTGGAGCTGGAGGAGGTGGGGGTGGAGGGCCAGGGGGCGGAGGTGGTGGCGGCGCAGGTTATCACCGGCAGCACTCTGACCCCTGCATGCCCTACCTGCAGCAGAGCTTTAAGCAAGAATACCTAGACCCATTGTATGAGCGGGCGGCTCACATGGCAGGGTCCGGGCACGGGAGTGGACCGGCACACGGACCAGGACACGGGCACGGGCATGGACCTCATCCCCACTCCCATCCCCACCCACATCCACATCCACATCCACACACACACCCACACAGGTTCCCACCAGCCCATATGATGGTTAAGCAGGAGCCCACAGACTACACCTATGAACCTGGTGAGTGATGTCAATATATTTAAAAACTATTATGCAGGAGAATGAAATTGAGAATGAAAATGCTCATCACAATTACCAAGGCCCAATAAGACATTTCTTAAATTTGCTCATTTTATCCAAACAACAGTCCAAAACCCAAACACATTTATAAAGAATGATATAAAACATAGAAAAACAACACATTTTTACATTTGAGGGGCAAGAACCAGCAAATGTTTGGCATTTTTCGTTCACCAAGCGATTAATCAATAAACAAAATTACTAACAATTAATTCTCTGTAGATCATAGAAGTGATTTATCTACTATTTGTTTCAGCACTATGTGGGAAGATTCAATACAAAAAACTAAACCTCCACCTCTGTTTTGGATTGTGATTTAAAGGCACAGAGAATGAGAAACAGGATTTGATCGTCATTAATCTCATTTGTGTTCCTAAAATCTAATTTTAGCATTTAAGAGAGTGTGCCAAATACAATGTGTACCTGTGAACTGAAACTAGAATCTTAACAATGGTTGATATTATTTATAAGGGTTATTTGGCATTGCAATCCGTCTCACAAATGTCCCTTTGAAGACAAACCCTCCCCAATGTGCATAGCTAACTCAAGAACAAAATGTCCAAAAGGCAAACAAACTTCTTCACTGTATCTAGACTCCTACCCGACTCCCTCCCCGCCTCCAAAACTCCTCCTTTCAACTCTCTGACACTTTGCGAAGAAAAGAAAAAAAAGTATTTTTTTTTCTTCTGCCGCAGCTACACTCCCCCCTCCCTCCGCTGCTCTCTGTGAGAGAGAGGCAGAGGAATTTCATTGAGAAAATGGAGGGCACTGGAAAGACTAGAGTCCCTGGTGGAGTGCTCCAGGGTTTCAGGTTGCACCAGCGGCTTCCTTTTTCTGCAGGCAGATGAACTCATAATGGAAAAATGAGCGTGGCCGCAGTAACACGAACCTCTCACTGGCTGGGCTTTGGGAGAGGGTGAGGGGAGGGAGTAGTGGTAGACGGGGCGGTGAGGCGGGTCGCGGGGGGTGGGGGCGGGGTGGTAGCCAGCTCAGCTTTGAACAACAAGCTCACCACTGAGAGCACAGAAACCACTTGGGCCTCTGCTTGCCTCTCTGCAAAATTTAAAACAAGGA